AGCCTGACGCGGGGCTCGAACTCACGGACTGCGAGATCGTGACCTGGCTGAAGTCGGAGGCTTAACCGACTGCGCCACCCAGGCGCCCCGACACCTATGTGACTTTTTAATAAAAATGAAAGGATTCAAAATAAGGTGCTCGTTTCTCTGGTTCGGGCCTGAGTGATTGGGGGGCAGGGGTGAGAAGCTGGGTTCTGGGTGTCAGCATGGCGTGAGGGGAGCGGCCAGTGGCTGGAAGGAGCCGGGGGGGTGGGGGGAGGCCGGGAGGGGAAGGAGGGAGAGCCAGGGCTCGGTGGCCTCAGGGCCGCTGCCCCCTCGGAAGCCACTGTGGCTGGAGGGCCCCTTGAGTCTGTGTCAGGAATATCGGGTGATGGCGGTCCCGGTGTTAGGCAGCCGAGTGGCCCGGGTGCGGGTGCAGTCCGGGGACAGGGGGGAGTGAGGGCGTGTGTGGGGACGGTTTGGGGCCGAGACAGCCCCCAGAGCTGTACGAGGCGGTGTGGCGAGGCCACCTCCCTGCAGGACGGCCGAGGTTCTCGCGCAGGAGGGCAGAGGGGGTCAGGGCCTGCCTCCCAGTTTGCGGAAAACGCGCTCACTTCCTCTGTGCCTGAAATTGGTCACTTTAGGGTTTCTAGTACCCAGGACATCAGAGATTTCAGCTGTGAGGCTTTTTACATTTAAAACGGGAGGCCTTCTTTGTTGGACCCAGATCGCATTTGCGGAAGTGACAATCCCATAATGACAGTGAATTAATTCTGGTCATTTCCCAGAGAAAGAACAAGACGTGTTAATGGCCTGTTGTCTTGTGCACCTGAGTTGGTCTGGTCTTTAGACACCAGCTGACCGTCTGGGGATTCTTCAGTTTCCTCGGATGCCTGTGAAATTATGTAAAAGCATAACGTTTACATTAATAGTTACTTCTCTGGCCACACCCTTTATGTTTCCCCAGTTATTCGTCCGTGGTTCTTCATTTGCTCTTTTGGTGAGAGCCTTTGGGGGCCGGTCAGCCGACACAACCCGCCTTGTGGTTTGCAGGCGTGAGCTGGGGCTTGTCTCCGGGCGCCGAGCTTCAGGGGCAGAGCAGATGCGTGGAGAGCCTGGGGTGACTTTTATTTTCAACTTTGGGTTTTGGATCGGGGTCGTTCGTACAGAGCATGAGATTAACCCGGGACGACCCTCTCGTCTCCACCGCAGGGTGTCAGGCAGAACTCAGCCTCTCTTCCCGAGAAGGTAACGTGATGTACTTTTTCTTTGTGTTTAGGGCTCAAAGTTTGGGCGGGGAGTTGGACTCACTCAGACTTCTCAGCGCACTTCTGCTCGGAGATCATTTGGAAGATCCAAGAGATTTAGTATCACTCGCTCCCTTGATGATCTTGAGGTAATTGAATTTTAGTTATTTTCTTTCCCTATCAGGTTTTTAAAAATGAACGTCGGTCGTGCAGATACACCTGCATCTTCCTGGAATCCCACCCTCACCCATTCCCCTCCCTCCTTCTCCTGCTGTCACCCTGATCTTCAAGTGTGGGGGGCCTCTGCTGCACATCCGGACCTTCCCTGCCCCCCCCCCGCCCCCCGCCCGTGTCTGCGGACCGTCTCCTGTCTCATCGCTGCCCCTCTTGCCCCACTGAGTCTGCGGACATCACCGTGCCTTGCGCGCTGCCTGCTGTGTGGCCAGAGCAGCTGTAAACGTGATAGACGTGAACTTGACTCGGCCTCACAAGAATCACGAGAGGGAGGGCCTCTCATCGCCCCCCTCTAAAGACAGGGTATTGATCCACAGATACCGAGTTCTTTTCTTGTATCCATATTCCTTAAGAGATGAATCGACTTGGCTGTCAGAGTGGTTTTAGGACTACAGAAAGGTGCAGAGCCCCCGAGCCCCCCCGCCCCGTGACCCCGGCTGCTCCCCGCTCACACCGGCGTGGCGCATGTCGGCCGACGGGCCGGGCGGACGTGTTCCTGTGAGGTTCACGGCTCGCGTGAGAGGCCGCTCTCCGTGCTCTCCGTTCTCAGGCTGTGGACAGGTGTGTGATGTCACTCCGCCTCCATCACAGTGTCACAGGCGGGGTTTCGCGGCCCCGAGAACCCCTGTGCTCCGCCTAGGCCGCCTCCCTTCTCCCTGGACCCGTGGCGGCCCCGACCCTTCTGCGGTTCACCGTGCGTTCGGCCTGGCAGTCTGCACAGGGGCCTGGCACCGGCTGTCTTGTTCCGCCTCCCTTAAAACGCCGCCTGACCCGCAGGCTTTAGTCCCGTCGTGTCGTGCCGTGGCGTCTGTTGTGAGCGTCCTGGCCTCGCATCCGCCCCGCCGTGGACGGCCCCCCCTGGGCAGCTGGAAACCTGCGCACGGGACCCCGTGGGCACATGCGGAAGGGAGGGCTTCCCAGGCATAGAATGCCGGTGATAGGTGTGGCCACGCGCCAGTCTCGGTGACCCTTCTCACGCAGGCTGGGGTCACCGGCGTGTGAGCCCGTCACCCCTCCTCTCCGCCCTTGGTGCTGGCGGGCTGGGAACTTTCCATTTCGGTGAAATGGCGTCTGGTCTTACCCGGCATTTCACTGATGGTGTGTGAGGCCGAGTGGTCGTGGGAGGCTCTTGGGCTGTTTGAGTTTTCTCCATTTTACATTAGCCTATTCATATCCTTTTCTAGTTTCAGATTTTGTATGTACGTGTGTGTGTGTGTGTGTGTGTGTGTGTGTGTGTGTGTGTGTTCTGGACACGAGTCCTTTGTCAGTGAATGTTTTGGAAAAATCTTTGTGGCTTATTCCCACCTTTGTTCAGGGTGTCATTCGTTACACATATGTCTAATTCACCCTTTTTAAGTGTCCAGTTCAGCGCCATTAAGAGCAGTCACGGCGTCAGGGCACCTGTGACTCGTAGTTTCTGCTCAGGTCATGACCTCACCGTTCGTTGGATCGAGCCCCATGTGAGACTCTGTGCTGACAGCATGGAGCCTGCTTGGGATTCTCTCTCTTTCCTTCACCTTCCCAGCTCTCTCTCTCTCTCTCTCTCTCTCTCTCTCAAAAGAAATAAACATTAAAAAAAAGGACATTCACAGTGTTGTGTGGCCGTGCCCACCCTCCGTCCCCAGCACTGAACCTCTGTGCCCATGAAACACTGGCTCCCCACCCCCTCCCTTGGTCTCTGGAGCCCCACACTTTCCGTCTCTAGTGTTTCAGGACACTGGGTCCTTGTGAAAATGGAATCACATGGGCTCTCTGCTTCCGGGTCTGGCGCGTTTCACTGAGCATAACGTCCTCCAGGCTTGTCCACGGCGTGGCAGGCGTCAAGATGTCCTTCCTTTTTATCCACGTGATCCGTCGTGTGGACATCGCACGTTGTGTTTATCCATCCCTCTGACGACGCGCACTTAGGTTTCTCCCACCGTTTGGCGCTGTGAACACGGTTATGCAAATATCTGTTTGGTTCTAGCTTAAAAATTAATTCTAAATAAGATAAGTTCTTACAGACTGATTGACAATAAACTGGAACTAACAGGCCTTGGTTGATTGTTGCTTCGAGTAATAGGTTCGTTTGTGTTTTGATGTGAAACCGGGATGCTTGAATGTTAGAGGCGGAAGGGGTCTTTGAAGCCGCCCTGTCTTCTAGGCTGGATGTGGGAGGGTCGTCAGAGGCTGGGGGTGGGTCACAGAGGCAGGAGGGGGGCACAGGCTGGAGGCTGGAGCTGGGCGGGGGAGGGGGGCCACCTTGCCTGTGGTGTCGTGGTAACTGGGGGGCAGTGCAGGCCAGCAGGCCGCGTTTGGTCAGCAGCGGTCAGAAGTGGCTCCGGTGCGGCCCCTCGCTGGGTGGAAGGAGAGAGGTGAGTGTGCCGAGTGCGGGGGCCCTCGGAGCTGTGTGGCTCCCAGGGAAGGGGGTCTCGACGAAGCCCGCGTTCTCAGGTCAGCCTGTTGGCCAGCCGTGGGCCGCATTTTTCTGGGAGAAGGCTCGTGGGAGGGGTCTGAGCCTCCCAGGGGTGAGAAGTGGCCCTAGCCCGGCTCACGGTGGCAGCCCGCGGTCAGACCTCCAGGCTCCGTGGTTCCCGCTCACTTCTCCTCGCCCGAGAGAGAGCGCTGGGCCCTCCTGCTGCCCGCCGCCCGCATGTGCACCAGTGTCTGCGCCCTTGATCGAGGGCAGCGGGCAGCTCAGTCTTCGATCTCTGACCTTCAGATCAGCTCTGTGAGGAGATCGTCGTGGTCTCTGTCTTACAGGTCAGGAAACTGAGCCGCAGGGAGTTTCAACAGCATCTTCTAGGCCACGCTAGGCTGCAAAGCTGTGGTCTTTCTCTCGCTTTTGTTAAAATGGTACATTTGGAGACATAGGAGTGAATCTTTGCTAAGTTTGTTTTTTTTTGTTTTTTTTTTGTTTGTTTGTTTTTTGCCTAAAGGGTTCAAAACGTACAAGCTGCAAATACCTTTCTTGAACACTCATCGCTGGTAAGCCTGTTTCTAAGGGAAGCTTGTTGAACACACTGTCTCTCTGTACTTCTCTTTGTTACTCTCTAGCGGGTGTCCTCGGCAGCCTGGGAGACCGTCCCCGACCTCTTGGTCCTCGCACCCTCGGACGGTCCCCTCCCCAGAGGCACCGGCTTTCACGTCAGCCTTCAGGTGGTGCCTGATCATCCTGGGCCTCTCAGAACATTCTCTCCTCATTGCTCCCCGCCAGGGGCCCCTGCCCCCCGGCCACCAGCAGCCCCGCTCCTCTGCGTAAGTCCTGTCTCGAGTCCTCGTCCGGGACACCAGCAGCTCGGATTGGGTCCCCCGGAGGGAGACTCAGATGGAGAGCTCTGCAGGCCTGGGGACCCGCATCAACTGGGGTGATGAAACAGTACGTGTGTGTCAGTCCAAATGAGTGGCGACTGCGTAAAACAAGAATAACTGTTTTGTTTTTTTGTTTGGTTTAAAAATGTGTACAAGTAAATCACAGCGTGGCCACTAGTGTGAGCGCTGGGAGGTGAGTGGACTGCAAGCTCCAGGCGATGTCAGTGCTCAGGCAGAGGGTGAAGGTGTGGTTCGTCCTTGATTTTCATAAGGTGAGGACGCATGCTGTCATCTCCAGGGTGGCCTGAGACAGTAAAATAAAGAGCGCTTTTAGATTGCAGGGAGGAGAAATGGAATTTTGAAAACCAGTCAACTCAGCAGACGGTAGGAGTGGGAGAGACGGGACGGTAGGAGGGCGGAGAGCTGGGGGCCGTCCACGGCGGCAGCACTGAGTAGAGCCGTGGGGTGAAGGCCCCACATGTCAGTAGGAACATCGATTTCATTTTTTTTTTTTTTACATTTATTTATTTTGAGAGACACAGAGACAGCACGAGGGGGGAAGGGGCAGAGAGGGAGGGAAAGAGAGAGAATCCCAAACAGACCCCGCACTGTCGGCACAGAGCCCGACATGGGGCCTGAACCCACAAAACCGCGAGATCGCGACCTGAGCCAAAACCAGGAGTCGAACTCTTAACCAGCTGAGCCACCCACATGCCCCAAGAACATCGCTTTTATTTTTTATTAAAAAAATTTTTTTTTTAATCTTTATTTATTCTTGAGAGAGAGACAGACAGAGCATGAGCGGGGAAGGGGCAGAGAGAGAGGGAGACACAGAATCGGAAGCAGGCTCCAGGCTCCGAGCCGTCAGCCCAGCGCCTGACGCGGGGCTCGAACTCACCGACCGCGAGATCGTGACCTGGCTGAAGTCAGACGCTCAACTGACTGAGTCACCCAGGCACCCCAAGAACACCGATTTTAAATGAATCAGATATACCAGTTAAAAAGAAAAGATTGTCAGACTGCATGTAAAATCTGATTATTTTCTTTACTAGAGACACACCCAAAAGTTAAGGACACAGAAAGCAAACAAAAAACTGGAAAAGAACACACTGAGCAGTACTAATCAGAACAGTGGCAGTCGCATTAATGCCAGCGGGGGCTTTCGGGCAAAAAAGCATCCCTAGAGCTAAAAAGGGAGCCTTCAGAATCGTAAGAGGCAGTGAGAAGTTCTCATCCTGAAGTTTGTATGCATTCAGTAACGTGGTCTCCACATACCTAAGGCAAAAATGGGTAGAAGCAGGAGAAGAAGTGGGCTAATTGACACGGCGGGAGGTGTTTTACACTCCCTGCCTCGCACCTGGCGGCTGGAGCAGGAGAACAAAGTCTGGAAGAGAGAGGATCTGAGCAGCATGACTCCCAACTTGGCCTCCCGGACGGACGTGCGGCACTGCACCCGATGGCCCGCTCTCTACCCCTCCTGGACCGTTTGAACGTTGAGCGCGTGCTGGGCCGTAAAGCCGGCCTGCGTAGGTGCGGAGGACTCTCCAACAGTGTGTCCTGTGCCACACCCAGCGTACTAGAAACCAGCGACGAGCGGGTGGTGCCCGTACATGTGGGAGTACGC